ATAGGGACTTTGTAATTTATCTTCAGTAGAAGAATAGGGGATTTGTAATTTATCTACAGTAGAAGAATAGGGACTTTGTAATTTATCTATATTAGAAGAATAGGGGATTTGTAATTTATCTACAGTAGAAGAATAGGGACTTTGTAATTTATCTACAGTAGAAGAATAGGGGATTTGTAATTTATCTATAGTAGAAGAATAGGGACTTTGTAATTTATCTACAGTAGAAGAATAGGGACTTTGTAATTTATCTATAGTAGAAGAATAGGGACTTTGTAATTTATCTACAGTAGAAGAAAAGGGGATTTGTAATTTATCTATAGTAGAAGAATAGGGGATTTGTAATTTATCTACAGTAGAAGAATAGGGACTTTGTAATTTATCTACAGTGGAAGAATAGGGGCTTCATAATTTATCTACGGTGGAAGAATAGGGGCTTCATAATTTATCTATAGTAGAAGAATAGGGGCTTCATAATTTGTCTGCAGTGGAAGAATAGGGACTTCATAATATATCTATAGTAGAAGAATAGGGGCTTCATAATTTATCTATAGTAGAAGAATAGGGGCTTCATAATTTATCTATAGTAGAAGAATAGGGGCTTCATAATTTGTCTGCAGTGGAAGAATAGGGACTTCATAATATATCTATAGTAGAAGAATAGGGGCTTCATAATTTATCTATAGTAGAAGAATAGGGGCTTCATAATTTATCTACAGTGGAAAAATTATTAGTTAAAACAAGTACTTTACAACTTTCTTAAATGGTTATTATTAGTTGTAAAGTACTTGTTTTAACTTTCTTAAATGGTTATTATTAGTTGTAAAGTACCTGTTTTAACTTTCTTAAATGGTTATTATTAGTTGTAAAGTACTTGTTTTAACTTTCTTAAATGGTTATTATTAGTTGTAAAGTACCTGTTTTAACTTTGTTAACTGGTTATTATTAGTTGTAAGGTATTTGTTTTTACAGTTTTTTAATGTTTGTTATAAACATGTTTCCTTTTCTTCACTAGTTTCATTGGTCATTCTTTGGGAAATATAATTATCCGGTCAGCTCTTACCAGGCCAGAGATGAAACCCTTCTTGGACAACCTCCATACCTTTCTTTCTCTCTCTGGACCACACTTGGGGACATTATACAATAGCAGTGGACTGGTCAACATGGGTAAGATTAATGTTGTGTGGTTTGGTAAAATATAATTGTTTATCTAGTGTCAAGCAATTAGTTTGGGATCATTATACTGGTTATTAACCTGGTATCAAGAATTTGTTTTGTTGTCCTGGCACTGGTTTGTTTACCTAGTACCAAGAATTTTGTTTGTTGTTCTGGCAGTGCAACGTTTAGTACATAGGATGTTGTTTAGTGTATCTAACACTATGAATGAAACTTAGAACATTGATGTACTTAATCAGTACCAAGAATGGATTTAGTTTCCTTACAAATCTTCCATACCTAGTACCAAGCTCTAACGATAGGTTTAGTTTGAACCAAAAGTTAAGTGTAGTACAAGATGCTGAAGCAGTATACATATAGTAACTTATAGGTTGTTCTGATTAAGAAATGTTTAATCTCTACTCTGCTAACAGTGTGTTACACATATATTTTTCTTTTGGTGCCCTGTTAGTGTAATTGTGTTTATCCTCCCTAGTACTACCTGTTTATGTTGTGTTGTTTCTATTGTAACTTTTCAGTAACAATTTTAATGTTATATACTATTTATATAGTTTTGTTTTATGATGTATGTTATTTATATTGTTACTTTTCAGTAACAATTTTAATATTGTATACTATTTGTATTGTTTTGTTTTATGATGTATGTTGTTTATATTGTATACTATTTATATAGTTTTGTTTTCTGATGTACGTTGTTTATATTGTTACTTTTCAGTAACAATTTTAATATCGTATACTATTTGTATTGTTTTGTTTTATGATGTATGTTGTTTATATATTGTTACTTTTCAGTAACAATTTTAATATTGCATACTATTTATATAGTTTTGTTTTAGAAAAAGTGTTCTTGAAATTTCTATAGCAATAGTAAATTGACAAACAACACTTTATAAGTATAAAGTGGTTTTATTTTAGGGTAACACATTACATCTTTTGACACAAAACATTGACAGACCAATGTTTTGTTGAAGCATATAGCCACTACATTATGGTTATAGATTGTTGTTTCTTGATTTACTTTTATGTTAGCATAATTTCCTTTCCTATACAGGTAAAATTGTGCATTGTTTATATTGTTAGTTCTCAGTATCAGTTTTGTTTAATTTTGATATTATTTATGTTTTACTCCTTAGTAGGCTCCCCACTGGCTAAACAGTATAACTAATGATTTTGATGTTAAAAATTGGGTTTTGATACCCGTAGTGGGGCCTGCACAGTTAGATCATTGTACAGATTTCTCAGTAACAATTTTATTTTTATTGTATATCAGTTATATTGCTGGTAACAGTTTTGTTTAATTTTGTATATTGTTTATGTTTTACTCTTAGTAGGCTCCCCACTGGCTAAATAGTATAACTAATGATTTTGATGTTAAAAATTGGGTTTTGATACCCGTAGTGGGGCCAGCACAGTTAGCCCATTGTACAGATTTCTCAGTAACAGTTTTATTTTTATTGTATATCAGTTATATTGTTGGTAACAGTTTTGTTTAATTTTGATATTATTCACATCATTATTCCTTAATCGAGGTTTAATATCCTATATTATGTTTACGTTTCCTTCTCAGTAAGAACTTTGTTTTATGTTATCTGCCCAGGAATGTGGTTCATGCAGAAATGGAAAAAGTCTGGCTCACTTCTCCAGTTGGGGATGAAGGATGCTGCTGATCTCCGGGAGACTTTTCTATACAAACTTAGCAAGAAATCAGGTCAGAAAATAAATTAATTGAACACATGTAGTAATAAATTAAACTGGGAATTTGCTTTTGTTGGTGTTTTTAACCAAATTATGCCTCTTTTGCACCATAGTCTTTCAATTTTCATGACATTTATCTTTAGTTTCCTTTGTGATAAGTGCATTTTCATCGAGTACTAACATGTAGTATAAAACCTCAGAAAAATCTGGGTTTTAAACGAGATTTTAAACATTATTTTTCTTCTGTTAAATCTTCAATATTTATGGTAGTGGAAATTGTAGCTATTCATGTTTGTAAAAACAGTTTGCGTTACTCTGTAGATGGCTTATTTTTATGAAAGTACGTTGTTTTGTACACAGACATTGCTTGAAATGGGGAACACTTTTAGTGAGAAACTATCAGTAAACTTTTGAACTGTAGCCATCTGATTTTAACAGACATTTACGCTATAATAGCCATAAAATAATTTGAATTGTTTTGTATTTCTCTTGTTAAAAATAAAAAGATTGCAGTAATTAAAAATTTAATGTTTTGTACTATAATAAATGTTTCGCTCAATGCCCTGGGCAAAGGATACGTATCTTTTCCCCCACGGGCTGACATCTAGTGATGTTCAGTGTTGCATATCTATCAACATTAACTACTAAAAATCTGAATTTTTCTTCTCAGGTTTGGAACATTTCAAGAATGTGTTACTGTTTGGTTCATCTCAAGACCGCTATGTTACATCTCATTCAGCTCGAATTGAACTCTGTAAGTCTGCCGTCAGAGATGCCTCTTTGCAAGGTTTGTGCCTTCGTCCATCTTCTAGGTTTTCAGTGTTGAATACTGTATTCTGTGTGGCAATATAAACCCAGCAGATTATACATATATCTTGTGATCAAGATTTCCTGATAAAAGGTTTAGTTTTATAATGTCCTTGGACCGATGTAGGGGAGTGACCAAGACTCTTCTTTTTATGTTTTCCAATCTATTTTGGTAATTTTTTTTGTATCCTACTAAAATCCCGTGACTGAAATATTATTTTTTCTAAACTTTTAGGAGCGGTTTACAGGGAAATGGTTAAAAATATTCTCCAACCCATTGTGGAGAAACCCGACGTCAATCTTGTTCGTTACGATGTTCACCATGCTCTGCCTAGTAATCCCAATTCTCTGATTGGTCGAACTGCTCATATTGCTCTTCTGGACTCGGAATTGTTCATTGAGAAGTTTTTGGTCGTTTGTGGACTCAAGTACTTCAGTTGAGTGTGAACAACTAACGTTGTAACGTACTGTTAAGTGATCTTTTTAACTACCATGTGTATATTTGTGTACTGTATCATACCTTCCTTAGTTCATATTTATTGACATACATCTGGTGAGATCATCGTTGTGGTTTTATAAAGTATCATAGTCCAGTGTGTGTATATTTTGAGAAAAAAAAAACTGTTGACCTGGATAAAAAAATTGTTACTGAATATATAGTTTAAGATTGGAGAAAATCCGGAATGCGTATTAAGTTATTTGTATTTATATCAAAAGTATACAAAGATAATGAAAGTTATTATGAAAAACAAATGAATATAATTAGTAGTCAAAGATTTTCTGTTTCTGTCCGTTGAGACATGGTGTGTACAGTAGGAAGGATATGTTTGATTTAGTTTGTAGACAAACATTTAGGTTGTAATATGTCTGTTAAGAGAACGAGACGTTAATCTAGAGTTGTAGAAACCTACTTATAAACTGCAGCATTGTGTTGTTTCCTAGTGACTCGTGATTGTAGTCACAGTTGTAAAGATAGAAGTTTCTCCTACTCAACATTAAAATGGAATTTTTACCAAGTTTCATAAAATACAGTGTTCATTTCTAATGACAAAGTTGAAGAGACTCTGCTCCTGTTATGTTTGTGGGGCAGTGACTTTGAAAATGAAGTAAACTAAACGTGTTCAGTATTCTTTGCTTTTGTAGTTTTGTTGGCATCAAGAAATGGCTTTTCTTTTTTTCTGTAGTTAATCTCATTTAACTTGGCTTTAATTAGTACGGGCTCTTACAACTTGTCATTTTAAGCTGTTTACAGGTTGCGTTGTCATGTTTAATTTGTGTTCGTTTTCGAAGCTAATTAACCTCATCATTGTTTCTTTTATGGAACACGTAATTTGATGCAATATTTTTACCAAAAATCTAAAGGTTTTGAGAAGTATACGTTTGTTAGTATAGTATGTCTGTACTGAATTATTTAAAAAATGTGAAATTTCATCATCAAGCGTTCAATAGAAACACTAAAGTATTTGACAAGTAAAGTTAATCTAATGTGGTGTGTTGACTTTATAAATTAAAATAACTGTAAGAAAGTAATTCCTTACCTGGCAGATCAGAAATTGAAAATTAAATAACAAGATGAACTTTGTGAAATAAAGTAAGGTCACAGATGATAATAGCTGCTGGTCCAACCTGTAAAATTTAGTAAGGTCACAGATGATAACAGCTGCTGGTCCAACCTGTAAAATTTAGTAAGGTCACAGATGACAATAACTACTGTTTTTACCTGTAAAATATAGTAAGGTCACAGATGAAAACAGCTGCTGGTCCAACCTGTAAAATTTAGTAAATTCACAGATGATAACAACTACTGTTCTTACCTGTAAAATAAAGTAAGGTCACAGATGATAATAGCTGCTGGTCCAACCTGTAAAATTTAGTAAATTTACAGATGATAACAACTACTGTTCTTACCTGTAAAATAAAGTAAGGTCACAGATGATAATAACAACTGTTTTTACCTGTAAAATAAAGTAAGGTCACAGATGATAATAACTACTGTTTTTACCTGTAAAATAAAGTAAGGTCACAGATGATAATAACTACTGTTTTTACCTGTAAAATATAGTAAGGTCACAGATGATAATAGCTACTATTACAATCTGCAAAATAAAGTCACAGATGACAATAGCTGCTGTTCCATCCTGTATAATAAAGTCACAGATGACAATAGCTGCTGTTCCATCCTGTATAATAAAGTCACAGATGACAATAGCTGCTGTTCCATCCTGTATAATAAAGCCACAGGTGACAATAGCTGCTGTTCCATCCTGTATAATTAAGTCACAGATGATAATAGCTGCTGTTCCATCCTGTATAATTAAGTCACAGATGATAATAGCTGCTCTTCCAACCTGTAAAATAAAGTAAGGTCACAGATTATAGTCACTGGTCTATCTTTGTAACTTTTCTAGAGAATCTATTTATATATGTTGATAGGTAAATAGTCAAAGTTGAAGAAACTGTATAAAACTGATGACTTGTTGGAGCTTAACAACAGAGATCATTATAAACTTGAGTCTTTAATGCTGACAATAGTTGATACCTACTTTAAGAAATATTGTTTTTAACTTCATTGATTTTTTAAATCATGACTATTTTGTTTTAAGTCTTATCATTCCAATCTTAAAGGTCATATTGCAGAAAGTGGACTCGGGGTGTGAACACAAATTTGTTTATTATATGTGAACCAGATGTTTCATTGTACAAAAGAAACGGTTTCTACGATCATCTAAATTTGTTACACTTTATATCATTAAACATTTCCAGGTGATTGACGAGCTTTACCGTGCAGGAATCAAAAATGTGGACCTATTTAAAACTGTAGACAACTACTGTTTGTATGTAATGTTTTCTATGTTGATTTATAACTTATAACATGGCCAAATGTTTCCTCTGTGAAGCTGTGGAATATCTACTGTATCTTATGTTTGTGTAGCTGAACTGGACCTTAAGAGATGTGTTTTATTCTTCTGCATTATTTCTATTCTCAATCTTGTATATTTTAACTTGTTTTTAAAATTGCAAAAGTGTGTCATAAATATTTATTCAGGGAAAGTGTGTATATTTGGAGGGTTCTTGTTTATCTTTGTGTAAATTTTTGAATGTTAAATTTTTTTGTCAAGCAAATTTTTTTTTTGAATGATTGTTCATAAGTTACTTGAACAAATCCTAGTTCCAATACATTTTCTCTATGTCTTCCAATAGAGACGTACCAAAAATAGAACTTGAATAAAATAAAGCAGTTTACATTAACATAAGTCCCAGGTAATATAGTTTTACTCAAACTGACCAATACAGATGATCCAGGGAGTAAAACCTACACTATAACTGATATAATTACACTTGAGTAAGGAAGCCAATATAATAATAGGTAGGCAAAGAAATTATAAGCATAAGAAAACGTTTTATTGATGGTGGAACATACTACATGTTTCAACAGAACATTGGTCTGTCTTCTTCAGCTATGATCAGTACTAAATATCCATAACATACACATCAGTTAGTACAGTTTACTGAAGCTGACCGGTATCTTTCACATACACATCAGTTAGTACAGTTTACTGAAGCTGACCGGTATCTTTCACATACACATCAGTTAGTACAGTTTTACTGAAACTGACCGGTATCCTTCACATATACACCAGTTAGTACAGTTTTACTGAAGCTGACCAGTATCTTTCACATATATACCAGTTAGTACAGTTTTACTGAAACTGACCAGTATCCTTCACATGTATATCAGTTTGTATAGTTTTACTGAAACTGACCAGTATCCTTCACATATTCACCAGTTTGTATAGTTTTATTTAAACTGACCAGTATCCTTCACATATACATTAGTTAGTACAGTTTACTGAAGCTGACCGGTATCTTTCACATATACACCAGTTAGTACAGTTTACTGAAGCTGACCAGTATCCTTCACATATACACCAGTTAGTACAGTTTTACTGAAACTGACCAGTATCCTTCACATATACACCAGTTTGTATAGTTTTACTGAAACTGACCAGTATCCTTCACATATACACCAGTTAGTACAGTTTTACTGAAACTGACCAGTATCCTTCACACATACACCAGTTTGTATGGTTTTACTGAAACTGACCAGTATCCTTCACATATACATTAGTTTGTACAGTTTTACTGAAACTGACCAGTATCCTTCATATATACACCAGTTTGTATAGTTTTACTGAAACTGACCAGTATCCTTCACATATACATTAGTTTGTACAGTTTTACTGAAACTGACCAGTATCCTTCACACATACACCAGTTTGTGTAGTTTTACTGAAACTAACTAGTATCCTTCACATATATATTAGTTTGTATAGTTTTACTGAAACTGACCAGTATCCTTCACATATATACCAGTTAGTACAGTTTCACTGAAACTGACAAGTATCCTTCACATGTATATCAGTTTGTATAGTTTTACTGAAACTGACCAGTATCCTTCACATATATATTAGTTTGTACAGTTTTACTGAAACTGACCAGTATCCTTCACATATACACCAGTTTGTATAGGTTT